GAAATAAGTCAACTAGCACTGTTAACACATTATAGAAAATACTTATAGGTAAGATACCTACACAGTTTTGAACTCATACAAATTGGTAACAGCGTTTGGGCACAAATACGAAGTACTATTGGCATAGAAATCACACATTTGTATCTGACGCTTGAACTATATTTATTTATTTATAACTAAGAGTCTTATATAGCCTGTCTGCAAACAGTCAAAGAAACATTGCTTTCACTGACGCTTTAAAGCTTATTGTAGCAACGAACAGAACTTAACTATAACTAACAATAGAGCAGCATTTTTTAACAAAATGTACCCTTAAAGAGACACATTATAAACAGTTTAAAAGAGTACTTCGTATGTGTACCTACTCATGTATGTATATACACTATCAACTGCCTTAAATATAACGGAATATACAATTACCTAAATATTCGTGATGTTATACAGCGCTTGCATAGACAGTGTAGAAATATTAAGTCACTGTTTAAATAATTTAAGTTTCAAAATAAAAATCAGTCTTATTTCATTGCAAGACTAGGGTCAATTTGAAAGCAATTTTTTATTGAATGTCTTGCTCGTTATTGTATTGTTAAAATAATTCATATTTTTTAATGAATGAGACAATATTATTTCGTAACAAGCAGTATCCACATATTACCTAGGTACTTTTAATGTCCAATTATTGATATAATATAAAATAGAAAATTGTATTCTCGAATTAAATATTATTTCCAACATGGCGGAGATATTAACTTACTAGCATAGAATATAATCATAGTGAACGAGATAGCAAAATAGACGGATAACAGGAGAAGGATAACAGATAGATGCCTCTCGTTGAGCTCTGTGGTTGGCTGGGGAATATAAGGGGATAATAAGTAGCCAATCGCAGATTAGCTAAACAGAGACAGAGGAAACTATCGGACATCCATCTCTCCCGTTGCCTGTATCGCTTCCACTTACAGGCAGCTGTACCCGGTGTTCTCTCTATGCTTACATACAGCTTACATACAGCATATAGTGTATATTGTAAATTCCAAGTGGCATTGGGATTCAATACATTACATTTATATTACAAATAAATGACCATAAAACTGTTGATATTTTCTTTAAATTTTTGACGGTATTGTAACCTTCGTAAGATGTAACGCTGACTAGCAATTTGAGTGCGTAACATAACTTTGAAATCGAACACGTTAAGACTTAAAAAAAGGGTATGTATCAGCTCTGACGAACGACTGAAGTTTACTCGTTAGAAACGATTTGGCTGCACACACACTGCACGATAGGTTGCGCACAAAAAACTTAACGAGGTCATTCGATCACAAAATTTTACTCTTCATATTTTTTTTCATACCGGTCGCCTTAAATGAAAATCGATTCTTAAGGAGTAAACTCCAAAGAATGGCCTATGTAATTGCGTACTGCACATAACACCGAAGCTTAATAGTGAAGTACCAATACCAATTGCATTGTTAGACGACTATTATAACAGGTAACCTGATTAGTAACTTAATGCATTACCATAATGTTATATTTACATTTTCAGTAAATTTACACACTAGTGATTCGACTATCCTCGACAAAAGTCCATTTGTTATTATGTGTTAATTTTTAATAGCGGCTTGAATTTTACTTACAAATGAACATAGCTAATCCATTTAAATAAAAAATAATGTTAGATGAATGTAAATGAGACATATTTGTAAACGAATCATATTAAAAGTGTAAATAATGCTAGGTAATCCGTGGATGATTTTTTAACAGTAACAGAATTTTAACAGTAGATAATTACTTCTATACAGTCTATTCTATACACGCAGCGTTTTACCCGCCCCATACACTAGTACGTATAGTAAAAATGTAATAATTTACAATAACATGAATGGTTGCCACCAGTAGAAATTCTAAGAGATTACAAGACATTATCTTAGTATAAATTTATTCGATATGGAAACTTTAATACACATCACCAAGGCCTAAATACGTTAAAATTGTGGTAACTATAATAAATTTATGAGAAAACTTTAAAAATATTATGTAAACATAAGTTTAATTTGTATAAAATGCCTTATAGAATATAATGCTAGGCGCTCCGCAAATGTATATACTTTTTCGTGTTTAGTCACAAGGGCAATGGACAACCTAAGCTAACAAAATTTTACTGGAAACAAGCTAGAAAGTAAAAAAAGGTGAAAAAAATACATCCTATGTGTTGTGTATAGTGAAAGAAATAAAATACATAACAAATGAAATAATGTCAATTTTTGTAGTTGAACGAATGTCTGTTGGAAATGACTTAAAATGTACCTTTGCTTTTTAATATTGACTCAAAATATAGGTAAATTGAGAGCCAATACTTTTAGAAAATCTAAAATATTTTTATAACTCACTTTAGAGGTCCTTTACCTATAGAGGATGTTATAAAAATCAAATCAAATGTGGTCAAATTTTAGGATCATACAGCTATATTTTTATTTATGTTTAACAAAACATTATCCATATAAATGAAAATATGCATTTAAAATTGAAGGGCATCTATAAAGCGACTCCTAAACAAAGTGTTTACTTCACAGAAAAAATCTCATTTCTTTACTTTCTCAAAGTCTAAATAATACATTACGTGTTGTTTACTTTAAATAAAAAATGAATCAGATCTTTTATAATTTACATATCTTTTGTCTTTTATTACAAAATCAATACAAAATGCATTATTGAATACATAAAAGCCTACAAGTCTTTTTTAAGAGTTAAATAAACTATTTAAAAAGAATTCAGTTAACCCGTATTATGATTAACATATAACATAGATTATAAATTTCAGCTTAGAAACTAACATTCAATAATGCAACCGACGAATATAAAATGCTTGTACAGAAATCCATCTTTTTAGTTGTATACAAATTAGTTATAAACACTTATTTATAAGGTCAAGTATATTTATGTATTTTTTATGTCTAAAATCAAATACATTATTCGTGTATGAATAATAAAATTAGTATTTAATGAGGTAAAATTTAATAAATAATTAGTGTGTTTATTATGAATTATTATTGAGCCGTGGATACAAAATCATTGCGGTTAGTGAATGCAATTCACGATTGTGCGTCACTCGTAAAAACGCATGTATGTGTAAGCAGATGTTAAACAATCAAAAGACTTATTTTTAAATTACTTTACAAGCGATTGTATAAATAGAGTACTATCTTCGTTCTTACCTCTTTGAATATATTTTTTTAAATTTCCAGATACACTAAATCGCGAGACAGTTAAGCCATTAAAATTAATGTTCACTGACCAGCCGAGACTATGAAAAACTATAAATTGTGAAGATTTTGTTAAAAAACTAATAAAAAAATAAATCGGTTTAATAAAAAAAATTTGCAATAAAACATTAACTAACTGATATATTGCCGCCGTTTATTCTGACTAATAGTTTAACAACTGACAATAATGAAGCGTAACATCTCATTGGGTTGAAACTCTCAAGTAAAATCATTTATTCTATACCATTTATACACAATATATTATGATACACGCTTCAAACACTCGTGAATTACCAAAACTGTGACCTGTTATTGGATTCTATTTAAAAACTTAATAAAGTGGAATGTCAGTGACTTATATAGTAATACTAAGGAATGTTACGATTCGATACAAAACGACATTAAGCCAGACAATCGCTTCAAATATTGTTATCCTTTAAATAGTTTCACTTGACTACACAATATATATTAATATTGAAATCTTATCCCAAACTTACATAAATTAAAGGCTACAAATATTAAAGCAAATGTAAACTTGTACATTCTGGGAATGTACCATTTATAGTTTTACCTATTTATTTACAACACAAATTATAAAAATACATTATGTCAAACGATAATTACATCTTCTACTCTACGTTAAGCTACAAAATGTCAAACACAACAATAAAAAATAAAACAGTGATGTCTTTGGAAGAACAATGCCAGCTACATACTAACGAAGCAGGACTCAAGGTTGGGGCAGACAACGGGCGGAGAGAGATGGCGACGCGATGTAAGCATTTGAAATGTACTAGCTTGAGCGTACGATAACTTCTATGCCAATTAGTACACTACAACTAGCCCAAACCCCGCCCACTGTCTGCCCCAACGATCAATTAACGAAGGTGCCGACGTCTAGCGTAATGCGATAACGCAGGAGCATAATTAGCCGATATTATAATACAGGGAACTATCGCCGCTATGTCGATTACCATATTGTCGTTATTCTTTTGAACTCTTTGGCAATATTCATTTCACAGATACCTTTTATGTACAACTAACACTACAAATTGATTTTAAGGTTTGCGTCATCTCGAATGTCGGTCTCATTTTGGTACCATGTTACGGACATGATGGAGACACTTTTCTTCTCGTGTTTTAGACTTTTTTACACTCGTTCTTTATTTGCAACGCAAACCAAATATGAATTCAATTGTAGAGACAAAAGGTGTCAATCACACCTATTAGCGATCGGAACGAAATACACTCGATATATACAAACACTTAAAATTCAGATCACCAATCTTATTTTAAAATTATGTTTTCACCATCGGTTACGTTTAATTGAAAAATAGTTCTACGAACTACCATCGCTAAATAAGTTTACAAAATATCGATATCGATGCAAGGATCCGATATGAAGGGAGAGCTACTTGATAAAAGTGTATACATCACAGATACGTCAATTACGAGAGATTCGATGAGACTATTATTATATCAAAACGTACGGTTCTGATTACAGTTTGATAAACATACAAACGTGAAAAAAATAATGATGGAAAAGACGTCGAAAAGCTTACACACTCGAATCACATTTCCCAGTATAATTTCGTATACATTTTCAACAACAAAAATCTGTGAAAATGCACACAAAAGAAAAGACTAAAGGAATCTAAGCGATCGCTCACGTTCACAACTCTGAGTCGGCCCCGTGGGTTATCACAGCGCGGGCGGCGCGGGCGCAGGCTCGGCGCGCTATAGCGGCGGCGACGCGCCCTCGCCCGGCAGCTGGTGCACGCGCGCCGACAGCAGGTTGTGCAGGATGAACACCGCCGGCTTTGGGCTGCCTTCCATGTCTAGCTCCTGTACCGATTTCACACTTTTATTAGTCGCTGAGCGATTCAGCGTTTACGATTAAAAATATATTTAATTTTAGGTTTAGGTAAACTGACAACAGCACTGCAGAGAAAAGGAAAACTTGACACAAAGCCTATACCGACCCGTCTGGCCGGCGTGGTATAGTAGGCCGGAACATCTTGTCTAAGGAGAGGCTTATGTCCAGCAGTGGACTAGTAAAAGCTGTTTATGTGATGAAACTGACAACAACAATTTATTTTAGTAACTTAACCAGCGATACGTTTACTTCTGTAGGTTTTGAAAAATATTTCTATTCTAATATGCGTAAATCAATAGCTGTGTTAGCTAAACCCAATAGGACACTAAGCTTATGTCTTCCACAGGCCAGTTAGCTCGACGATAGTAGTTGAGCACTCAGGAAAACATCCGGCTCGAAGGACCATTAAATGTACAGGTCACTTAGATGCACACTTGCAGGATAGTTTTTGTAAGTCGGATATATGGATAGTAAGTTGAGTAAGGTATATATATATATATATATAGGTATAAGCCGATATTTCCATAATGTGATTTGTATAACAGTCGGTAGTCGACTTATAAAGAATTCATCGACTCGCATATGCTTTTAGGGCTGACGCTCACCACGGTGTCGTCGTCGGCGAAGTGCAGCCAGAGCGCGGCGCGGTCGTCGTCGGCGGAGGCGCGCAGCGCGTGCAGCGGGCGGCGGTACAGCGCGCGCGCGCCGCCGCGGCCCAGCGAGCCCGCCGCCTCCCACACGCACACGCCGTGCGCGCCCAGCGACAGCCGCGCGCACGCGCCCCGGAACCGACACCCTGCGCCACCGACACACCACGTTCAATCATTATACACGGTCTATATTGTTCGACTATTTTGGCACAAATATATCCACCTAGACTTTACTTAAAAAATCATAATCTTCGTGTTATATCATGGGAGAGCCATTCTTCGACATGTATGGACCGGGCCCGACCGAAGTGATCCCACGGCGTCACGGAAAACCAGTGTTAAACCGTACTTTCACTACTTTTGAGGTGAAGTTAACGCAGCCCAAGCTCTTCCCCCTGATTCCGGGAGAGGGACTAAAAGGACGTCAACAGGGAGTTATAGGTATTCATGGACACCGGTAATTTTATTTACATTTGTTTTAAAAGGAATCTAATTTGTTGCTGCCAAGGTATTTTCTGTCTAGGAGAGACAAATATTGAGTCGCAATTTAAAACGTTTACAAATCTGCTGTATTTCTAAGATTTACATTGTACAAAAAGTAAGTATAAAAGCATGAGTCGCAGAGTCACTTACGGATGGCACATACGTCGCCACGCCACCAGCCGTTATGACCCTCCGCATTAGATGTTTAAAATCAAAAATGGAAATTTGAAAGAGTTCATGAAGTTCTAGAGAACAATTAAACCACAACGGTCACATTGGAAGATACTAACGGAAAGTGAACTCAGGCTGCGTCCGCACCGCGTGGTGCGCGCCATCTACGAGCGCGCCGGCCACGGCGGCCAGGTCGTGCGCCGTGTCGGCGCGCAGCGAGCGCACCGCCAGCCCCGCCGGCGTGCCAGCGCGCACGCCCAGCGCCGCGCCGCCAGCCCCGCCCGCGCGCCGCCACCACGCCAGGCGCGTGGCGGCCAGCCCGAAGCACTCGCTAGGCGCGCACCACGCCTCGCCTGACCACGGCGCCGCCTCGTATAACCTGGTGACGTACGTCAAACATTGCTCTACTACTTCTGTGCATATACCACTTAAACCGAATGGCTAACGAAGCATCGAAAGCTAAAAGGAAAAATACAAAATTCAAGCGAGACGCAGACTCGTACTCGCGCCTTAAAAATATCATTTTTGATTGATTATCTTCCTCTCACCTCAGTTCCCGGTCAGTGATGGCGACAAAAGTCGGCTGCCAGCCATCAGCTTCGTCGGAACTATCGGAACCCCCGGAAGCGCTCATCTATTAACAAGTTTAATAAAACGGTAACAGTTTTTATCAAGGGTCATCAACAAAATCGCAGAAGTCGGCTTCCGCACGCTCTTTACGTCGCGATAAGCGATTCTGAATCTGATCGTCATCCACGAAATACACGGATGTGTATGTGTATTGCAGGCAAGTTTTTATACTAGTAGGACGATTACAAAATTAACATAATTATTCTTTTCATATTTTCTAAACGTTACATTATTCGTATGTAACACGTAATGGTAAAGTAACGATCATTAGGCTTCCACCACAAAAAAAAACCTTACATGATCTTGAGGCGGCCGTCGTGCCAGCCACCCAGCGTATCGTACATCTCCTAAGAGAGGCCGCAACCTGGGGCGTGCTCGTGCCAGTGCAGCCCGTGCAGCGCGGCGCACGGCGGCGTGCAGAGCTCGGTGCCAGCCTGCCGCGCCCTGAGCACTACTTGCCCGAAGAGCTAAAGCGTGGACTCCATCCGGAGAATAAATTTCAATGGTTCGTTCCTCTGGAAATTAAGATATTAACCATGGTCAAACTTGGCTTGGTCAAAAAATACGCATAAAGAATAAAATTTGTATATAAACTACTTTAGTATCTAACAATATATAGAAAAAGCAAAATAAGTCTAAATGAGAAAGTATGCCAATACTAAGTTTATAATAATATTTACCAGGGTCACGGTGACGCAAGTTCTTAGCTATGCAGGCCATCAGTAGAGGCACGTAGCGTGTATCGGCACGACGACGTCTTGGTGAAGGTGGTGATGGGGGCACATCGGCCATGAACCCTCGTTGTAATTCCCAACCCACTTCACTGATAATCGACGCCTTGCGAAAGTAGGGTGTTACTTCACGAAGATATTTGACTGTAAAGGCAAAATTGATATTTTGTAAACATGTAACAGTTTTTTACACAATTTTAATGAGAGTTGATGTCTCTCTCCTACTTGTCAGCTATATGTTGAATCACATCACATCACATCAACAGCCTTTAATAGTCCACTGCTGGACATAGGCCTCTCCTTAGAAAGGAGGTTTGTTGTTGTATGTTGAATAGACATATAGAAATGCCGGCCTGTTCAAGCTACTGCAGTCTTCAATCCATTTCCTGCTGGAGACTTGCAGTATCAGGTGGCAGGTGGTTGGCCAAGCATAAACTAATCAAAACCTATAAAATGTTATACATAGTACTCAATTAAGGTAGAATTGTGAGATGAGCAGGAATTGGGAGATGATGATGACGATAATTAAGTGCAACACCAGTGTTTTCTATCTATGAGTGGTATAGTATATAAACCACATGGTATCAGTTACTTTCTGTTCTACAAACATTCCTACTCATTACTCATTGAGAAAATTATACTTGTTACATTATTGTAAAAGGTCATATCATCATTTTTTCAAAACCTATGAATATGGTCTCAAATAAGTGTAACAAAAAACATTTAAACTTTCAGTTACAGTAGTAAATGCTGATGAGAAGGGAATGGGTATAGGTTGTGTGTTATTTTACTGATAATATGTATTTCTGAGTTAGGTTTGTATTTCTGTAATAAATGTTAACTTTGAAATAAATAAATTACTTGACCTTAAAACAGGTAATTAAGATTTTCCTATTCTTTATTAACTTTCAGTAAATGAAGAATTTAGTATGACGTAAAGGAAAATTAAATAGTATTATAAATACATTGATCTTATTATCATAACATCATTTTATGACTTTATATAACAAAATATATCAAGAATATGCTATCTGTTTACATAAAAACCCATTTATATTCTGTATAAGGTGAACATACGTTACTTGGTTGCCTCCTATGTTTGTTTTAAAATTTACACCATATTTAACTAAAGTGAAGGTTGTCTGTCATTAAGTCTGTCTTAGTCAATATATTTACAGGAAGTATAAATAATAATAATAGACCATAAACATCTACTATTGATGAAATACAGCTGTATTTATGCTACAGACAGAAAGAACTTAATTGGCCCAGTTCATCTAAAACACACCAATTAAGGTCAATTCCATTAGCGTCTAGGTCTAAGTGCAAAAGTTCATTTATTACTCATGTAATATAAATTAAGCCACTTGCCTTCTAACTGAACCATTTTCCCAGCTCGTTTCAACGCTTTTACTGCTTCCTCATGTGTAGCATCTTTTAAATCCTCACCATTCACAGACAATATAGCATCACCAACATACAACTGTTCTGTAAGATCGGCTGCCATCCCCTTGAATATTTTGGATATCAATATTGGCATATTGTTCTCAATTCCGCCCTTGATGGATATGCCCAAGCCATTATTATCTGATTTTACCACCTGTACTAGACGTTTCTGATTTGCAATCGCTTCCGGCACTTCTGTAAAATCGCTATTTGGAGTTTCTACGTTGTTGTTATTTAATGTTCCATTCAGTGTAGTCGTCGCATCGTACCCATCATCCAAACATACACTGAGATAGTCTTCTTCGAGTGTACAATGAACGCGGTACCATACTCCACGAACTAATGTCTCTAGTAAACCTGAACGAGCACAAGTCGCACTAGGGCTATCACTGCCCCCACTGGATGCTCCGTTTTCCACCATAATTTTGCCTTTTTTCACAACAAATAACTAACAATTTCGCCACAACTGGATTTAGTCTACCTAAACTTTATGACTTAAAATCTATTACAGTTCATTTTAACAATATTACTGTGAAATATTTTAGGGAAAACAATATTCACACCGCAGTTGATTTAATATCATGATAAAATACGAATTTTATTGCACAATCAATAGGTATACAATTTTGACGTTCCACCCTGAAACACAGAACAATAATGAACACTTTCTTGAACAGACAAGAAAAATCTGTGAGTAAAATATTACACAGTTCCACAGACTATTTACAGAGAAAAAACATTAAATCGCTAGACGCTAGAGTAGTGTGTATCGTACAAAATATCACAAACAAAATAAGGTAGGTTGTTCGTTCTAGTATTTAAATAAGGAAAAAAAGTCTATTTTGGTTGATATAATAAGAGTAAATTACAAAATGATTTTTAAATTTTAATCAGATACTGTTTTGATACTTTAGGGTTACTAGGCCCGCATAAAGTTCTTTAGACAGACAATTCTGTGTTCTAAGAGTATAAATGACTGAGAAAAGTTGCTGAAAAAGCCATTTAAAAAATAAAAAATTGAAAAAAATATCTAAAAAAATATTTTAACTATTTTCTTCTTCTTCTTCTTCTTCATAAATGGCAAACTGTGCCGATGTCGACAATTCTGCCAGTGTCAAGTGCGATGGAAATACGTGGGTTTTATTACACAAAAAATTGAATTGATGATATTAATTGTAGACTGAATGTGGGGCTTTTTGTTGTGGTTAGTATTTACACTGAAACAAGCAGACAAGTACAAATAGATAAGATATGTATTAAATAAATAAATAGGTAACTAATAAGGAAACAATCACAAAAAAATAAAAATCCAATATTCATAGAAATGAAGGTCAAAGTCTGATGTCATTGGATCGGATAAACAACATCAAGACCTGGAGAAGGTGGGGGGAAGAAAATGTTAGGAGAGATGAGAAGTTGATAGGGATGGGGATTTTTAGTTCGGTAAGGTGAGAATAGAGATCTAGGGATGGGATATTTTTAGGACAACTGAAGAATATGTGATCTAGATTGCCTTCATCTAAGCCACATTCACATAAGGACGAATCCCGTACCCGAATCTTGTTCAGGAACACAGGTGAGCTGCAGTGACCTATGCGGAGCCTACATATGGTGGAGATGACAGGTTTACATACCTTCTTAAATTTGTAGAACCAGGGTTTTGGGGTAATGCTTGGTTGGATTGCGTAGTAGTGACGCCCTTTATGCTTTGAGGAATTATTCCACTCTTCCTGCCAGGATGTTAACAATTCTCTCTGAGGCAGTCTTAAGAGGTCGTAATGCTGGTGTGTAAGATGTTTCAGGTCCGACATTGCAGAAGTAGCAGCACTTTTGGCCAGTGAGTCTGCACACTCATTGCCCACAATGCCACTATGGCTGGGAACCCATACCAGTTGAACTATTTTTGAGTTGGTGGAACAATTCAAAAGGGTTTTTTTTATTTCTAGGATCAGCGGACTGTGAAGTTTACTACGAAAGGGATTTTGTAGCAGGGCTTTAAGGCAACTTAGAGAGTCAGTGAATATGACTGCCTTGTGGATGTTGTGCGAGTCAATGTACAAGCATGCCTCTAAGATAGCAACACACTCGCCTGTAAAAACTGAAGCCTCTTTTGGACACTTATACTGTAAGAGAATTCTGGAGTTTTGGAAGTACACAGCGGCTCCAGTGTAGCTATCATTATTAAGTTTGGATGCATCAGTAAAGAACCTCTCAAACCCATCCCAGTGTTCAGCTAAGTGTGTATTAAAGGTGGAAACAGAAGAGGCAGATTTCTTAGGGATTCCAACATCCAGAAGAACATTCGGCTTAAAACAAAGGACACTATAATTAAAGGAAAACAGAGGGAGTTTGTCAAATGACACAGCAGAGTTAAAAAAAGTAGAGTAGGAGCGAAAGGATTGTAGAATCAATGGAATTCCCTTATGAGTCCAGTAATTTGAGGTAGTACAAATGGAGTCTAATTCTAAGATTTTTGGAAGAAGAGGATGGGAAGATTTACAAACAGATTTTACTATAAAACGTGAAGCGAGAAATTGTCTTCTTATTGATAAAGGTGGATCTGAACATTCCACTTGTAAGGCATTTATAGGGGAGGACTTCATGCAACCAGTAACAATGCGAAGGCACCTAGATTGGACTTTGTCCAGCTTTGCCAAAGCGCTTTTATTGCATGGAATCAGTAAAAATAGCCCATAGTCCAATATACTGCGTACTAAGGCATTATATACCAGTTTCATGGTGTATGGGTGTGCTCCCCACCAGACCCCAGCTAGGGCCTTTAAAATTGGGATTACACGTTCACATTTTGCGGTTAAGTGGTTCATGTGGTGAACGCCAGTCAATTTAGAGTCAAGATATACTCCTAGGAACTTAAATTTGTTTAATAAAGGAATTTCCTGCAGCTGTACTTGGACATCAATCTGTGGCAGAGTCTTCTTTCGTGTAAAAATAACAACCGCACTTTTCTGAGCAGAAAGACTAAGGCCATGATCTGATAGCCACTGCCACAGAGAATTAAGGGAAATAGTGAGTGATGTGGCTGCCTCTTGGATGGAATGGTTCGAAACATATAATGCCAGATCGTCGGCATATTGAAGGATGCTACAGTCATTGTTTAGGCATGAGCCCATGTCGGCAGTGTATAGATTGTACAACAACGGACTCAGTACAGAGCCCTGTGGTAAGCCCCTCCAGGTCTTTCTTTGGCCAAACTCTTCACCTAAGGTCCTAAGGACTAGAGTTCTGGACACAAGCATTGCGCATATGCAGTGGATCATCTTAACCGGAATTCTCAGCTGATGCAGTTTCTGCCTGAGAATGGGTATTAAGACATTGTCATATGCAGCAGATATGTCGAGAAAAGATGTTAGAACAGATGCATTTTGTGACAGAGAAAGACGGATATCAGTTATTAAAACTGCAACACTGTCCATTGTACTGAGCCCTTTGCGAAAGCCGAACTGATAGTTTGGCAGTAGATTCCTTGACTCTACAATCCATTCGAGACGGTTTTTGATGAGATGTTCTAATAATTTAATAAGGACTGATGAGAGGGCGATTGGTCTAAAGCTGTTTGGATCACCAGCATGTTTTCCTGGTTTTAGAATGGGGATAATAATTTGAACTTTCCATGTATCTGGGATCCAACCGTTAGAATAACAGAAATTCAAAATGTTTAAAAAATAAGTTTTTGTACTAGGCTTGGCCTGAACTATGAAAGAATATGGAATGCCGTCTATGCCAGGAGCCGAGTCTCGCACACTGTTGAGGACCATGTTCAGTTCTTCCAGAGAAAATGGGTCGTCATGGGTATCCACTGACTGAAACGGTAAGTCTGGTAAGGTCGCTTCATCGAGTTGTGGGACATACGGGGGGGCAATTCTGTCCAGGAAAAGCTCAGCTGTATTGGGGGAGATAGAGGAAGAGACAGAGGGCGAACAACCAGATCGGAACCGATTTATGTTCTTCCACACCATTGAGGATGGGGTGGATGGGGACAAGGAGGAACAAAATTTAACCCAACCGGCGCGCTTCTTGCGTCGAAGGAGTCTTTTGGTAGGTGAGTAAATTATGGGTGGTCATATCGGCATTGTATCTCCTTTCGGACTCCTTCCTATACTTGACTGCCCTAGTACATTCACTGTCCCACCAAGGAGGTGACGGAATTTTGCCTTTGCTCGAGTTTTTAATTTTGAAGGAACTGTCTGCACTTGATCTGATTGCCTCTACGAACGCGTCACAACAGTCCATCACCAGGTAACGATCATCCTGGGTTAAGGGTCTAAGGTCTAGTCTGGGGAGAGCATTTACAGAGTTTTCGAGGGTTTGGGAGAAATTTTGCCAGTTAGCTTCTGAAAGGATATATTTTAAAAGGGGGGGGGGAGATTTTACCAAGTGGGTTGAAGTTGGGAGGGTTACTAAAATTGGATAATGATCGCTACCATGCGACAGATCGGTGCACTGCCAGCTAGCAGCTGCGGCGATGTCGAGTGAGCAAATAGTCAAATCCACACAGCTACTATTTTGACCAGGAAGAACTCTACGAGTGGAGCAGCCACTGTTAAGTACGCAGAGGCTCAGATCATCGAGGATCTCCACTAAACCTGAACCGAAAGAGTCGCAGTGTTCAGATCCCCATCTATAGTGATGGCAGTTAAAGTCTCCCATAACCAATATTGGGCCCTGTAGATCCTGTAAAATCGTTCTCAATGTAGGCAGGAAACTTTGATGGGGGTGAGCTATATAAATAGAGAGCACGGATATGTTACAGATCTTAGCTGCAACCACGCTGATATCCTCAAGGAATGGGGGCAAGGATAGGGGGACTAAGGGGATTTTAGTATTAATAAGGAGGGCAGCACCTCCATAGCCATCAGGCCTATCACATCTAAGAATATTGAAATGGGGGACATGGAAGTTGAGACTTGGTAAAAGCCAGGTCTCAGCGAGAGAAATAGCCAGAGGCTTGAATTTGTTCAACAGGAATATGAGGTCGTGTTTTTTATGGAATACACTCCTCACATTCCATTGTAGGAATACTTTGTGGGACGCCATTTTTGAAATTTGTTAAAATATTGATAAGTGGGACAGCAACGTTGGACGGTATAATAGACTGGGATAGAGATGAATTGGGGGATAATAGGGAGGTTAAGAGTTGTAACAGAAGATCAATAGTTGAGGATTCAAGGGATGAGTTATTCATAGCACAACCATTAGGTTGTGAAGGTTGGGGAGATTGAGTAATGGATTGGTGTGCGACTTTATCGTAGGAATGTGAGAGTGGGGATCGAGGTTTAGGTTGGCGAACCACAGTTTTTTTGTAGGACTGTGTGTGCTGGAGGGATTGGGTAGGCTGAGTGGATTGAGAAGGTTGAGGGAGTTGGTTGATTTGTGGAGCTTTTAGGATGTCAGCGTATCGGCGTGTTGGAGAGGGAACAACCTTGCTTGCTTCCATGTAGGATATGTTCCTTTCCGCCATCATGGTCTTAATAGCTCTCTGTCTACCATACTCCGGGCAAGCCTTGCTATAAGCAAAGTGGTCACCGGAGCACAGCACACAAAAGGCCTCTCTTTCTGATACCTCACAACCATTACCAGGATGTTCGTGGCCACACTTGCTGCATCTTGGTTTGGACCTGCAGATGGACTCCACATGGCCAAACCTGCAGCATTTCCTACACTGTACGGTTGGGTAAATATATTGTTGAACAGGAAGCGAGTTGTAACAACAGTATACTCTTTTAGGCAGAACCTGGCCATCAAAAGTGAGGACACAGGTTTCCGTAGGTTTCCACTCCAATAGACCTTCAGTAAAACATTTCCTATTAAGGCGCCTGACTTTAATTATTGGGCCACAACCCTGCGGCACTGTAACAAATTTAATGACATCCTCATCATCCATGTCGGTGGGGATGCCTGATACTACACCCATTCTAGTGATGTTAAAGGTGGGGATGATGGCAGTGTATTTATGTGAATTTAGTAAGGGGTTTAATAAAAATGAGTTGGCATCCTGAGGGGATGCAAACTGTACTGATACCCTATTACGACCTACTTTTTTGACTCCATCTCTGACCACATTGTTAATTTTATTTTTAAAAAGGAAAACACCAAAAGAGACAGGGTGGAGAGTTGTGCCAGAACCCAATTGGGTCTCCATGCGGGAAACATGCACAATGTAGGGACCAGTATCATTTGTCGTGTACTTGTCACGACCTAGCGGGCTTCTTACTTGATTAGGGCTACGTTTAATAGGGGGGGTACTTACCTCATCGTTCACATGCCGTTTACGTGAGTTTGTAGCGAGAGGGCAATTATCTTGGACCGCTGCATTGCAGATCACATTGGCAAACTGTTCCAAGGGGTTGGAAGGGGTTGAGGGTTGATCGGGTAGGGAAGGAGTAGGGGTGAAAGGAGGGGTTACTGGATATGGAATATCGGGAGGGTCGGGCGGTTTATTTCCGTTCATGTTCACTTACCGGTAATAATATTTAGTTACAAACAACACACCGTAACCAAGGACAGCACAAAATAACAAAAAAAAAAGACCCAATAGTCACAAAATCACCAAAGGTTTGAAAAAATTCTAGACGCACGTGCTAACCAAACGAACGACGCGACAGAATCTAACTATTTTCAACTATACTCTTTGGTTTATCAATGCGTTTTGACATTGACATGTTTTTAATAGTGTTGACTGTGTTGACATCACCGAGGAGGACTGATGTGCAATGAGAAGTAAATAAAGATATTAAAATGTTATTATCATGAAGTGATTAATGACTGCCTTCATATTCTAAATATAATTTGAACCTTAAATAAAACGTAGAGTCATGGAAATGTGCAGGGTATGTCTATCAACAGAGAAAGGAATGCAACCATTGAATGAGGCTTTTGTCATTCAATACAATTTATTAACTAGCCTTAATGTAAGAACTTAATATTTTGCAGTATGTCTAGCTTGTGTAAATGGATAAAATTTACATTATTTTATTTAAGGTAAATAATTCTTAAAATAAATTTATTTCCAGATATCTATAATGGATGGAATGCCTCAGTATGCTTGTGAAACTTGTTTAGAAACTGTAAAATATTTTAAAGAATTTAGGGATAAATCTATTGCATCAGAAGCGACATTACGGAAAATTATTTTTCATGTAAGTGCCCAATAAATGAAGAAAAAACCTTCTTGTTTATGTCCCAGTAGCTAATATTTATTTTCTAAATTGTTGAAAATAAAATGCATGCTGTCCAATGCATCCATTATGTACAAAAAGTGTTAAGCTACTTTAAATGGTTTTTTACATCAAGATTCATTTGATTCCAAAGCATAATTAATTACTATTATTATTGTTTTTAAAAATCAGTTATTAAATTAACAAAAATTAATAAAATATATCTTTCTTTTTATTTGTAGATATTTTGAATTCACATAGACTAGAGTTTAAATTTGTCTAAATGAACTACAACTTCTGCTATAGAAAAACCATACAAATATAAAACACTTTAGTAAAGTTTTTTTAAACTACATATATTAGATAATTGGTTATTTATACAATAACTGTCAGTAAATTGTACTGGGTAAAATATTAACTCTATTTTCTTTGAATCACAGAATTTGAAATCAGAAGAAAGAAATATTGAACCAAAATTTGAAGCTCAACAGAAGGAAAACTTAGAAACAAATGAGGATGGGGTACAAAAGTTTATAAAAATTGAAATAAAAAAGGAAAATGAAGCAGATAGTGACATTGCTGCAGACAACTTTGATGCCACATTTGTTGAATATGAGGGTAGTGTATCGCACCTTGTGAAAGACGAAGACGAAATTGAAAAACTTAAAGGTGAATATGACACTAATCCAGGACATTATCACTGAAATAAAAAGTAAATAATAAAAGAATACAATTTCTTTTTTTCTAGATGTACAATTGAAAAAGTTGAAGAAAAGCAAACATAAGAGAAAGCAAAAGAAAAAAGAATTCAAGTCTATAGAAAAAACTGACCTTGCTGAAGACTGGATCTGTGGTAAATATAGTTTTAGTATTAAATGATGTGTCATAGATTTTGAACATAAACCTGATTTAATTTTAGAGCCATAAAAATATGCCGGGAAATATTACTAGGTATCTAAGTCAAAATTAACCAGAGCTTGTTTTATGGGTTCTTCTAGAACACAGATAAACAATTTTTGATCAGATCAATGCCAATTTTTACATCAAATTCAAAAATTTATTTACTTCACAATGTGGTTGGACATTTCATGAAATGGTTGGTCATAATATGAACAGTTAAAGCATGGCTACTTCATAATGTGGTTGAAAATTTGTGATAATGTAATAAAATTGTTAACATTATCTACTGTTAGAAGAGGAAATGTCATTTTGTGTATGGTATGTGATGATGATTTCATTGGAGAGTCTTCTTCATCATGTGAACGTGTGAACATCCCTAAATCTTGTCCGCCTAAGCAACAGCAGTGGGAGCAAACTATTCATGACAGCAACACTGCGAAGAGAATTAAAACTTCAAACAAGCCCTACACCAACCCCTCTGGCCAGCGTTGTATAGTAGGCCGAAACCACCTTTCTAAGGAGCGGCCTATGTCCAGCAGTGAACTACTAAAGGCTGTTGATGATTATGATTCCTCAACTGCGTTCAGGGCAACCGCTGTTTGTGTTTTAACTTTTTTGAAATTTCATTCAAAAAAGTGCTGAGAAGTGTATGATGGTGCGTGTGTGATGTGCTGATGACCTTACACTTACTGCTCAGGAGTAAAGACGCATAAGTGTTATAGACAAAGCGCTGTGTGCCTGGTGTTTTTGGCTGGTCTTTTTTGTATTTGTTAAACAAAGTTAGGGCCAGTACAATTCCTTGTGGGAGTCAGTTTTTCTCAGTACGCCATCTGCTTTTAGAGCAGTTTATTAGTAGACAATTCGCAACATACGAAGAGAGGTAGTAGGGCTACCGGTTTAAGGTCAATATAAAATATACGGAATCCATCTTAGCATTCGCAGACGACCTTGCGATCCTCACACGTAACCCGAAGCAGGGCCAAGACACACTGCGTAAGGTAGATGACTTCTGTACCTGGACGGAGGGATTGAGGACAAAACCTAGCAAATGCTATTGTCTTTGTCTGGGCCGGTGAGGTATCAGATATACCTCATATGACCTTGGGATTACTATTGGTGGGGAAAGTGTTTCAATAATATCAGAAACCGTGCTTTATAAATTCCTTAGAAGAAAGATAGACTACAAAGGTTGTACTCCATCTATGAACGCATTAGTCGATGACTTCGTAAAAGACATTGACAAGGTAGACCAACAGCCAATAAGTAACGTAAAAAAAGGCTTGGATTTACGATAACTACTTAACATCACGTCTCAACCGGCCGTTTCTGGTATACGATATAAACCAAAACCACTTAAGAACACTGGACGCGATAGTAACTAAGACATTGAAGTCGTGGCTCGGGCTAGCACCATCTGCAGACCCGTCAACGTTGTACAGGAGCCCGAATAACTGGAATGAAATTAAAAAGACCTTCGGAACTCTACCAACACCTAAGAGTTACCAAAATGCATGTCTTGTAAAAATCACAAGACGAAATCGTTAGATCCCTTCCAAAGACAAAAATTCATCAGAACTCGACTCACGGCTCCAGTCCCACAAGAAATTCATGGTGGGTACGCAGTCCAGTGGAGTTGGATTGGGAAATGCTAGAAGACAGACCGACAAAGATATAACAAAATCTTTCCTACAACAAGATGAAAACGATACCCACAAGGGGCACGCAATGAACCTAGAAATGCAGAATATATGGTTAACTCTAGGAGAATTTTGTATGCCTTCAGCTTTCCAGCCTCCAACTTTTATACGATTTGTCGCCTGCCCTGTTAAAATTTTACTTCAACGCCTTTCAGTTGACTCTCCCCGATCAAAGGAACCAAGTAAGGTGAAGAAAAGCTACAGAAAAGGGCTTGTACGATGTGCAGTGCGGAAATAGGTACAGCCAGGTACTTACTGACGCTTCGGAAAGTACCTGCACTCGGTCGCCAGGAGGGAATTGAGTCCCACCTGCCACCACTGCGACTGCAGTGAGGACTCGGCCCAGCACACGCTGGCGGTCTGCCCAGCATGGGCGACGCAGCGCCGGGCCCGGAGCAGTCATCGGAGTGGTCCATGGCCGGTAGCGACAGTTGTTTTACCGCGGTCGCAACCTTCTGCGAGGAAGTAATCTCGCAGAAGGAGGCGGCGGAGAAGGCCCGGGAGGACGACCTCCACTCGGACCCGATCCGCCGCCGGAGAACCGGGCGGCGGAGGCGCGCTTACCTGCGCCTCATACCGCTCTGAGTGTGGCCGCGGGTGGACGATATGGGTTCTCCCCTCCACCCGCATTAGTTTGGCCAGCCGCGAGGGGGCGGCGTCCGCGTGTGCCGGACGTCGCCTAAAGAGAGGTAAAAAAATTTGAGACGGAGCGGGCCGGCGCTGGGAGGGGTCCAGAAGGCGATGACTACCTGGACCCCCCCTAAAACAAAAGCGCAAGGAGGGCACACCGTGTGGTTTTAGTCGGTTCGAGTCCGACACACCGCCCCGCCGAACAGAGAGCCCCGGCGGGGTGAGGGTCCGAGGGGATTTCCACACGTAAAAAAAAAAAAAAGGTACTTACTGACAGGTTGTAAGGCGTTGGTTACATGATAGGGTATTACAAATCATACGCTATAAGTTTATAACTGACGATAGCGAAACAAGGAATAACAATAAACATAAGAACTAACATCGCCTTTGTAAAGGTAGGCTCAACAAAAAAGACTTTCATTACAGAATACCGGAGGATATCTGTGCCTCGATGTCCAGACAAGATATATTTCTTAAAACGAAACGACGCTTTAAAAAGAAACAAGTACTTCGACTTAACCAACGAAATAACTAAAAATGGTTATGCCGTGGAAGTGGGTGCGAGGGGTATATCAGCTATATCCCTCTATCACCTGCTTAAAGACCTTAGATTGCCAAGAGCTTCAGTAAGCTCTTTTCTTCAACGAATATCCCAATCGGCATTACTAGGGTCGTATCAAATATGGTTAGGTAGAGGGGGTAACACAGCAGACAGTTCAGGTGAGCGCCGACGCATCGTAAGAAGTACTCCCTAAACTTATACCTACGTCGCAATTCCCAGGCGCTGTTGAAGTCGCATGTGTTGCCCCCGGAACCCGCACGGTGAATCCATGGAACGCTAAGAAATAGGTCTGTGAACCTGGCCATTGGCCAGTTATTTTGTTTTAAAGTTTATAATAATGTACAAATAACAGAAAAAAAGTGATTAAAAATGTAGTTCCGTCAACTTAAGAGAGCCTATACCTATATATATTACAGAGGTATAAATACTACTTTATTTAGAAATTTTATTTAACATTAAAACCCTATGTTAATGACATGACTACAAGTAAATGGACATATCATTGACGACGATTAAAACGTTGACGTTTAAACGATATGATCGGTTTTAGCTTTCCACACCATAAAATATGAACATTTCATAAAATGGTCTACAATATTATGTAATGATCAATTCTATGATCTGGTTACGACACATATTAGTATACAATGTACTAAGCGGGCATCATATTTCGCGGTGCCACAAAAATCTTGAAAAAAGAATAATTAGGAAAACCAACACGTTTTAACAGAGATCAATAAAAATAACAGGCACGAGTATTTTATGAAATATTTAGCTAACCATTTAGTATCCGTAAAAATTGTGTAATCTTGAATAAGTAGCTCATTAGATTATCTTATGCATTTGCATACTTTAATGTTGATATGGTGAACCACAGACAACAAATATGTTTGACCATAGCAACATTAGAATATTTTATGGTCCCTGCGTTACAAGAATTGCTTCACTATGATGCTGTTAAGATTTGACTTTTATTACAGGTATATGCCCTAAGGCTTTTAAAGAAAAAAATGACTGGAAAGAACACTTAGATGTTCATAAGGATGATCGACAATGTGGGCTATGCAAAGAGAAATCAAATAGCCTCTCACAGCTTCTGGCCCATAGACTGACACATGTGCCTCCTAAACAACACAAATGTCACATTTGTAATAAACGATACAAATCTTGTTTGTATTTAGAACATCACTATAGAATATCGCATATCCACCATGATGTAAGTACTGAAATATGTACATATTTTTGACATGTAACATCTTTCTTCTCGCTACAATCTGTGATACTTCATTTTGTGAAAAACGACGGAAGTACACAACAGGAAATGGCAACGGGACGCGCACCCCATTTGATTTGCCCTATGAGCGAGCGTGGTGCGAGAGTTGGCCGTCAGGCGATAGGTGGAACATCAGAAGGTCAATTCTAATAAAAGTTCTATCAAAATTTAGTGTATGTCGTTTAAGGTATTTTTGTGGTAGTAGTAAGTAAGTAGTATATAAAATAACAAGATATAGCATTGATATCTTGTCGACTGTCTGTTTCACATGGTATCTAGTCAGCTTTATAGCAAGGGTTCTGGTTGCCATTCACAAATGCGATGCATACACAACCAGTTAAGTACCTAACCCCGCAATGTGTACAGAACCTCTTAGCCTCTCTTAAACTGTGAAATAATCTCTATATCATCTGTCGTCTGTATCTATATCGTCTGTGGGTTCTCAGCTAACTACCGTACGGGATTCTTTAAAATGCCTTAGATTTTTATTAGGTTAGCAGACATCGCGCTGCACCTTAATAATGCATGGGCGTCTAGATCACAGTACCCCTTACCATTTATCAATTGAACCGTACTTTTTTGAACGTAAGAACCCTAGTCTTATAAACCGATTTGACAGATTACAAAAAATAATTACTTCCATCTTTGTTTCAGAATCCAGAAGTTACTTGTAATATATGCTCATCCAGTTTTGTCACTCCAAAAAAATTGTCTAGTCATATATATCATGTACATTCCAGCACGCGATATTATTGTGACGTCTGTTCTAAAGGGTGGGTTAATCAATTTCGTCATGAGTCTCAAAATATATCTTATGGTTAATGTTATTTCTTGTTTGGTTTCAGTTTCCCATGTAAAACAAATTTGAAATCGCATATAAAACAACACAATGTGATCAAGGCTTATGTATGCGATTTATGCGGTTTCTCTTGTAATTATAATAGCGGACTGAAAGTGAGTACTTGAAGCTCAGCTAATCAGTTTTGTGCATAAACCTACTGAGTCTGATGTGTATTTGTCATTAACATAGTTAATTTTTATATTTCTTTTTTTCTTTCGTGGATTTAATGAGATCTCTCATAAAAAAAAACTTTTATGTATGTGTATGTATATTTTATGGTTTATGCTCAACAACAAGTCTTTATGCACTTAGTTTCGCCTTTATCTGTTTTTTTAAGACAGTAAGGCGTGGCATTACTTCCGACTTACAAAGGAAGCCTATTATTAGTATGAGCCCTTCATGATGAGTTGTAGTACGAATGAGATTATCAACAGAGTGCGTGCGTGAATACGTACATCCATACGTACCTGCATGGATTGACGTGTAAAACAGACACTTTGCTTGCTTAAAATTTATTGTGAACACATTTATTATTAATCTTCTAAATATTTTAGGACCACAAAGTAAGAAAGCATTCTCAACAGAAGTTAAACTGTAAAAATTGCACGAGAGCTTTCCCAAGCCAAGAGGAGTTCGAAAATCATAAGTGTAAAGAAAAGTTAACAATTTGTACTATTTGCGGACTGCAGCTTACTGGTAATTCAAGGGTAAGTGAACAAGACCCGTTGACCATAATGTAGAGGGAGGAGATCTGCAGTCAGGTTTAGAAAGAATTGCCCGAAGTCATGGGTTCGTCTCTACCTATCATTTTTTTTTATTAATTTTTCATTAATTATTTACTAGCTAACCCACTCAACTTCACCTGCGTCTGCCGAAGGAATAAATTTGCCCCGTTATTGCAACATTTTTCATTGATCCTTGGCTCTTATTTCTCGTGGTATAGCCTTCCTCGGCAAATGGGCTATCCAACACTAAAATATTTTTTTAATTCGAACCAGTAGTTACTGAGATTATCGCGTTCTACCAAACAAACAAACTCTTCAGCTTTATGATATAAGTAAAGATTGCTAGTTCACTATCACCTTAAATCGTTGTATGTCCATTATTGAACATATTGATTTCCGTAGGACTGAAACTAAGTGTCTTGTCCTGCTTTCGTCCTAAGACAATAAAAATTTTCCAGGTAGTTATCAATGCTTTCTTCCGCACTTGTTATAACAAGTTAAAAAAATGATAAGCAAATAATATATATATATTCCTATTATCTTTCCAGATGTCAAGGCACATGGCTCGCCACACCACCGTTGGAAAGTATGAATGTGACCGTTGTCCTGCCAAATTCAAGTCGAGCTCGGGATTGACCGCCCACAAAAACAGGCACGACGGTAACCGCACCAAACAGTGTGAATTTTGTCCCGCCAAGTTTTATACTGATACGGTGTTGACAAAACATCGTCGGACACATACAGGTATGTTGAAACTTAACTCTATGACGAAGGTTCGAAGGTTGATTACTGCCATTCCGCATTCCGCCATTCCCTTTTTTTAAAGACAAGTAAGAATATAGCCTGTGTCACGAAACTTTACAAACATACATGAAACGGACACAAAGAACACACAGACTCAGAACAACAATTTGTGGATCACACAAATTGTTATCTCATGTGAGGATCAAACCCACAATGCTCAGCGCAGTAGAAAGCGGCTAGGTGACCGCTTAAACCACTACGCTATCCGTGCAGTCATGGGACCGTTTAATTAACTAATTGATCATGGATTCCTGCAATCTTTGCAGTCCACTCAATGAGCAACACATTGTTGTTAGTTTCTAACCGTCTTAACGGTCGAATAGGTATTTTTAATTCAATTAGTTATATTCACAGTAACCCCCATAAAAATTATATACCTCGGGCCATCTACAGACGAGTAGACGACCCCCCCTCCCCGTGTGGGAACCCCATGTTCCCTCTGCTCCCTGGAAGCAAGCGCGCTTCGCAACGCGCTCGCCGCCACCCCGGCCTGCTTCTGCTAGGGTGACAGATAGCCTCACCTGTCACCCCCAGGCCTGCGCTTATGGAGTACGGAGGTCGTTCTGCGACCTCCGGCGCTTGAGTCGCCTGCGGTACCTGGCCCGTTCCCGGGCCTGGCGGGCCGGGAGAGTTCTAAACCTCTCCCGGTCCCGCTCCGCCGTCGCCTTCGCGAGCATAACTTGCTCGCAGAAGGAGACGGCAGAGTTCCACGCACTCTCGCTCCGCACGATAGCCGCAATCAGGCTATCGAGCGAGAGAACTCCCACTCCGATGGCCGCCACGAGGTCTCGCCTCTGCTCAACCCACGCCGGGCACTCTGCCAGCGTGTGGAGAGCCGTGTCCACGGTCTGGCCATCGCAGTGGTGGCACTCAGGCGTTGGCTCCTTGCGGATCACACACAGGTGATCCCCGAAACATCCTTTCCCAGTGATGACCTGCGTCAGTCGGTATGAGAGGGTCCCGTGACGCCTCTCGAGCCAATCCTCCATAACGGGTCTTACCGCCGCGATGACGGCGTGCCCGGTATACCAACCACCTGAGAACGAAATTAAGAGATGAAAGGATGATTAACATTATTTAGGTGTATTGAAGACGCGCTCACCTGCGCCTCATGCCGCCCTGAGTGTGGCCGCGGGTGGACGGGGTGGGTTTCCCCTCCACCCGCATTAGTTTGGCCAGCCGCGAGGGGGCGGCGTCCGCGTGTGCCGGACGTCGCCTAAATAGAGTGTACCGAAGGCGTTGCCCGCGCCGTTGCGGGCAGGCGATACGAGGGGTCCGGATGTCTTAATAACAGCTGTTCCCGGATCCCTCCTATTACAGGCGCAGAGTGGCACACCGTGTGGTTTTAGTCGGTCCGAGTCCGACACACCACCCCGCCGCAAACCCCGGTGGGGTGACGGTCCGAGGGGATTTCCACACGTAAAAAAAAAAAAAGGCTGAGCGGCAGATTATTAACTCAAAAGTTACTGATCCCAATAAAACTATGATTTAGATTGTAAATTTGTTTTGCTATAGAGTAGGTAAGTGTAACTGGAGTTCCCTAGGGTAGCGTGCTCCCAGATACGAACTAAGTTTTATAACTTTATAAAAAACAAGATCGTCAAGTTGGTATTAAGTCATTTTATTTATTTCAGGTGAAAAACCATACGTGTGTAAGATATGCAGCAAAGGTTTTACTGGGAACTACAACCTGAAAGTGCATATGAAAGTGCACGGTGAATATTTAATTGTTAAGAAGAGTAACGAACCTGATTTAAGTAATATAAAGAATATCGCCAAATGACTGTAGTTAAGTTTTAAAATATATATGAAAATGTTAAAAATCGAATAGTTCTTCCAGGTTGTACTTATTTTTACTAATAAATAAAGCAATTTTAGAAAACTTTTTAAAAATTATTTATTTTAGAAATACATTTACATCCAAGTAAGAAACTAAGGGTATCACATTAAAAAAAAGTCTTTGGCAAGTACGGGAAGTACTAAATATTAAATATAAACATCTATAAAAAGTATAAAATCGGTAAACAGTATAATTTTCAAAAAAGACATTGGATAGATTTAGAAAAAAAAATAAGACTTACTCTACTTAAAGTATTATTTATAAGTTACTAAGGAGAGGCAAGTGTATTTTTGTCACCGACTTAATTTTTAGAAATCAAAGTAGAAGAGATTATATTCGTAATTCCAAAAAAAAAAGAATGGTTGAATTTTACACCACAACATCGAAATAAGACATACACGAAGGTAAATACGCAACCAAAACCCGATCTACAAAATGGTTCAATAGCCATATTAAAAGTTTAAAGTTTCATTTATATATGTAATCCTGTTGGTAATATGAACCTCGCCCCTATGTTTTAACTAATTCGTTAAATAAATTCATTCTTATTTATTTAGTCGGTGACGAAAAGTGATTTTGATTCAATGAGATCATAATTTAAGGCTGCCAATACATTGAATAGAATTTAAACAATTTTAAAGCATAATGTAATACAACAATGTCAAGCGAACTAATTGTTTGGTGAAAAATTATTTGTACATTTGTTGAATACCGAATTATGTAACTTTGATATTGTTTAGTCAGTCTTATAAGCTAATACAATTTGTGGATATCGCATTATTCTTCTATAGAACGAATTCTGTTGTACATTTAATGTTTCCTTAAAAGCCTTGGTAGTACCTAGTATACAGATAATTATTTAAGACCTGCTAATGGAAATGTCATCTGTCATCAGATAACTAAATACTATATTAACATCTGCCAGATCAAACTAATAACAATAAAGTTTGTTTTACTGAAGATTAAATACTAAGTCCTACCTAATCAATAAACTATCTAAAATAAATAATTGACCAACAAAATAATAAACTTATAACTATGTGCTGGTCCTATATGGACTAACAATTAATTATAAAAAAGTAAAGCAGATATAATACACCATATTTGACAAAAAATATACTTTCTACAAGTAGGTAATTGTGTAGGTATACTTCTTCACGATAGGGATGTTGACACATTATTAAATGCAAAAAATATAAATTAAAGAAATTGTACTTACTAAAGCTTAAACACTCGTTTTAATTACGGCACTAACCGATAAGTAGCGCGACACTACTGTTGCGTTATCAGTGTTTTTATCGGTTAGTGACGTATTAGATCTGATTGGCGTTTGAAGACACTTTTGATAATAATTACTATTATTATAACCTTTTACATTCTTTTAATATTATTATTTAAAGAAATTTAGAAAAGAGTGTCAACTTACCTACTAAGATGAGACCAAAAAAGGAAAACCTTACACAATAATGTGCACAACCATAATTAAACCTACTCTTATATTTAAAGGAACAAATGAAACTTCAAAAACAAAGGGACATTTCTTATCATAAAACACTATTAAATGCTATAAATAGTGTAAACAACCAGGGTTTTGTAGGCCTCTATAGAATAACTTCCAGATATATTTTATGACAAAAACTAAAACACATGGCGTGTAAATTAAAATATGCTGACTGTGTACCAATAGAATTGCATATGTTTATGGTATAGAAACTTCTTTGAAATCTGTAGGTTACTCGTTTTAAAGTATTATACTTTATTAGATAAGCATTAATAAATTTTGACCTGAAAAGTGCTGTATGCGAAGGCCGTATACGCGACACAAAAGTGGAATAATTGGAGGTATTAAGCATTATTACGATAATCGCAATTATAAACAAACTAAATTAATACACCTTTCACACTATTTGTTCTTAAGGTCTGATTTACACATTCACATATAACATTTAAAGACACTATAGTGTTACAAAAACTACAATTTTTTTACAAACCATCTTATAATTATTAGCTGCTTAGACATTACAATTGTCGATACACAACGAGTATGGGCAAGAAAAAGGGACTTAAACATCTTCGCCCTGCCTCTTCATTTCTCTCAAACCACACATACTAATTAAAGCTAGTGCTATATTTTTAATACACCGTTGCAAAAAGAGGGATGACATTCATGATCTGACTATCGATTCATCATGTTAAACTTAATTTTCTTTGATCATATCATATTTGAAGACTTTATCTTTGTTCCTGCTAGGTAGGTATATCGATGTTTTCAGTATACGAGTAATGAAGAATGATTTACCGTTTCTTTGAAAAATGCACCATAATTATATTTAACGCATAGGTATTATTTCTTACCCACGACGGCACGGAATAGGTATATGCGTTTAGAGTGAGAAATGTTTGTTTGTTCGTTTGTGCAAACCAATGTTGCCATTTTTATTCTACAAAATCAATAGTACACGTTTTGCGTTTAGAGGTTTATTCGTAGGAACATCTACGATAAAATATGAAAATAGAACACGTTAAAGTGATTTTCGAGGCTTAAAATAATGCTATATGCTTCGTCAAACTTCCAATTATTTACACGAGTATATGTGATAATCATTAATAGCGATAATTATTGTTATCTACTAATTTTATATTCCTGGACCTTTGCTGTTGAGTCACAAAGGTAACGTCTATTTGAGCATTTTGCTGGTCTTTACAACATCATGGTAGAGAGACAATAAGGGTACGATTGTCTGCAATATCAAAAACGTTAATAAAAGTCAACTTGAAGCTAAGCGTATGTTGAAATGGAGACGACCCACTTTGGTGCAACGCAGTGCGGTGCAATATATGTCTGAGTAAAGAGCATTGATATAATCAAAAACATGCTAAAGCTGATGGTGTCGTCTTTCTTTTAGGTTTCGCTTCGTGACAATAAATCTGAAAACTATCTCGAAAATTCGCTATCTATACTAATTTCTCATATTTCGTTTCCATACTGTGTGTTGGGTATCCTAACAACGGTATCTTTAGTACCTAATTTATCAGTGTCAATTAGTGACCCCGAACTGTGTTTCTTTGTCTTCGGAGCCAAAGGAGGTACTTCGCTGCATGTTGAACAATTATCTTCTGTGACTTTTGAACTAGATCCAGCTGCGCTAAATTTTTTTAAGCTGCCTGTAGCCAGGGAGCCATTGGACGAAGAACAATGAGGAGGTAATAAAGGTACTCTTTCCTGAATATCTTTGCTGGAGCCTGACGGTCGGTGCCCGAAGGAACTGCTTCCACACTCTGAAGGAGCAGGGCATCCACCTTCTGGACATCCACCCATTGTTATCCATTCCTGTATTCTGCAATGATTTAGAAAATTATATTTAGGTTATTTTTAATCTACTATATAAAAAGTATATTATGCTCATTTAATTCATTTTATCCATAAAATTTTGCATATACTTTGTTAGGGATACATGGAGGATCTCCTCTAGATAAGAAGACTAAGTTCGTTTGAAATTCACCGCTACAGCGCTGTCACAGCGTCAAATTTCATACTAGTTTGAAGTTCGACGCTGCGGCAGCGCTGTACGCAAGGCTATTTCCTTAGAGAATAGGACTGCTGACTCTGATCGTGGGAAGCAACGAAAGTATAGCTTGACACCGGTTTACTGTGAGGTTGTGGTATCATTCCCTTCGAGCCGGGCCATAGGTGGCGCAGCATGGCTCTCCCATTTAGATTTTTATTTTTGCCTTTAATACATCGCCAACTAAGAGAATCTTACTAATATTTTTAAGGCGAAAGTTTGAATGGATGTTTGTTACTCTTTCACGCAAAAACCGCCAAACGGGTCTGGATGAATTTGGCAGAGATGGATTATAGTCTGGAATAGCATATAGGGTACTTATTATAACGAAACAATGTGGTGTTCCCGTAGAATAAGCAAGGTACAATAACAACCGCGGGGCGCAGCTAGTTCTAAATAAATTTCCACTTATGTTTGTTTTGAGTTTTCGATAAACGAAGTCATTACGTGTCCAAGCAGGCATTAAGCCGTGGAGCCCTTCGGCTTGCCGGACACGTAGGTATGACACGCAATAAGGCCCGCTTTCTTTCCGAGTAGCACGCGAAAGATAAGGGGTTTTTTGACCTGTCAGTTCGCGTGCAGGCTGCCATTGACGCTGTCAGCAATGGGACTGATATTTATTCGATATTAAATGTGATAAGAACTTGGGACAGAAATCAAAAATAAGTCCGTGAACTATAGCATAAATCGAAAAGTTCCTACGGTCCACATGCAATCTTTTTATTTGGATTAAATGCTTATACAGGGTATTTTAGTGGGTTTTTCTGCTATCATATCTTACTGTTCTAATCATGCTTAATCATTTGCCAAAACAAGTAAAAACAAACATGAGTATCAAACAGTTACCGAATAACAATTTCCTCAAAGTTTGGTCGTCTCTGCGGCACGTGCTTCCAACAGTCCCGCATAAGCGCGTACATAAGCGGGGGACACGCCCCAGGTGCTGCTAACAGTTCACCACCACGCACCATTGATATCACTTCTTGATTGCTATACCTTGAAATGCAGTAAGTTTGTATGAAAATGAGGCGTACACGGCACAACTAGAACATAGTTACTAGTTATTTTAGTTTAGTATGTAGTTTACTATATACTGTAAAAAAAAACATTTCAAGTCCAAGATAAAAACAAGACCCAGTTAGTTCTTACCGAGATATCCCGATCTTTTGTTTACGAAAGTAATAAATAACACTTACCCGTAATACGGCTGTAATCCATAGCTATATATTTCCCACAAAACAACCCCGTACGACCAGATATCGCTCTCTGTAGTGAACTTTCCATAAAGTATAGATTCAGGTGGCATCCATCTTACTGGTAACAAGCTTTTTGATTGTACCTGAAACACGATTACAGATTGTGATCTGTTATAAGGTGAAGTAGGTAGCTAACCATACGCAAATACATTAAAAATTGATGCATTTGTTTTGATATACTGACAGGAGGTTTTAATTGATCTGGATATAATCTAAATATAAGCAGACGGCTAAGTATTTGTTCTGACTTTGTAATTAATGGGGGTAGCGCGTAGGATTACGCGAAGGAGAATTATACAAATAATAAAAGTACATCGAAAATGTATTGTATGTGCCTATTCTGCCCCCGTTTAAATACATTTTATGGAAAATTGTACACTGTCTTTGAGTAAATTAAAATAATTGAATATTCAAAATAGGAATTTATAGGCATGATATTAGTCTTTAGCACCAAGTAATAAAATGTAAATATTTTTAAGTTATCTTATTATTAAAAATGACAAAAAAACCGTTTCACTTTAGTACTTAATTGAATAGACGCAAATGGCCAGATGCGCCTTTTAAATCTCAAACGCTTTTTGGAGTACTTTTAGTCAAGTATTTGTGTGGACCTGTACCTACTTTATGTTTTACGAAAAAAAAAGGCGCAGGTTATAAGCGCCTTCTTACTTAAGTATTCAAAACTATAGAAATAATCCTGGCCTAAGAATAAAAATACATGTAATTTTCTATTAATTATATTTTCCTAAGTGTATATTTTCCGTTTAAAGCCTCTAATGATCACACTAAGCAATAAAATAGATTTAAATTACTTTAGATAGTTTTCTTTCCAACGTAAGGTATCAAATCAAGCCGTATATGACAAATGCGCCCAAGTCAACACTAACTTTAGTAGATAGTGGCAGATATAGACGTTTTTTCATAGTGTGATAGCAATTTTTAATTAATACATTAGGCGTAAATGTTTACATGCGTCTTATTAATTTCATCTTAGAAATAAAATTTAATATGCGCATTTTAGATTACCGAAGTTCAAAATAAACGTTAGGAATGTGGCTTTATTTATTTAGGGCGATCATTCATTTAAGTTTTAGATGAATTCGTCTTTCAACTTCAATAACGTGTAAAAAATTATGCATAAGCGCTTTATTTTGTTGTGATAAAATTGCAACAAAGCATAGCAGAAAAATATCGGCAGATGCGCCTTTTTTCCTGATTTCGGCAATATATACCTATATAACTAAAATTCGGAAAAAAAGGTTAGATGCGCCTTTTCAACTATCGGGGCCAGTATTAGATACGTGCGACTATGTTCAATTTCTTGTATTTCATAAAATAAATGTACAATATATTTCTTTTGAATTAGGAACTAGTGCCATGCCAGCAAAAAAGGTGGTACTAGATCTCTAGCAACGTAAAAATGCTAAATATTCTCAACCGGTGATCAAAGTAAACACAGACCTATGTCAGTGCCTGAAAACCATACCGCCTAGCTACGGGCCCCACCAGATAAATATGCGTACCCACAGTTACTAAATTAGGAAATAGGACCCCTTTCTAATAATATGCGCATTTAAGATATGCTGATAAGTTATGTTTACTAGTAGTTTGTAGCACATTACTAGTAATCGTACTAGTAATGTGCAAAATCGTTAGTAGTTATAAAGACTTTTTAGTCGCATAATGTGCAAGAATACTTAGCCAAGTCACACTTTCTAACATTGTAAGTATATGTTAAAAACAATAATTGGTGTTCCAACGTACATTCCAACACGTATAGGCATTAGAAAAGACTAGGTGTGAAATATGCACGCCAACTTGGAAAATATTATTCTAATGAAACATACATTTAATAAACATTTACTGTGTGATAATGTAATCTGTCCCACTTGTAAGAAACATTAAAAATTAAACTGGAATAGTTTTCAAATATTAATTTATAGTCTGATCGGACGAACTGCCAAATTTTTGTTACCACATGCATTTATTACGGTTTTTATAGTGTATCAAGTTATACACATTGTTGAACGAAGTCCGAATATACACGGACGGTTCCAAGACAGGGTTAGGAACAGGAGCCCGAGTATTTTTTTTTCACTAGCGTTAGGCCAACACGGTTCCATGTTCCCATGCGAATGTGTGAAAATAAATAACGCCGCCACAACAGTAATGTCAAAGGATTATAACAGTCGAATACTGTCAGATAGCTTGGCTGTGAAAATACTAGAGGGCAACACAATGAACTCTGTTATAGTCTTCGAGCGCCATCAAGCGTTCGAGCAGCTAGCCATAGCAAATTTTGTATTTCTCTAATGGATTAATGGGCATAGCAATTCTCACGGGAACAACACCGCAGATGAGCTGGCAAATTGGGACTCCGCATCATCGGCTGCTGGCCCAACCACACTACTGGCACTGCCTTTCAATCAGCTTCGCTGGGTGAGGCAGCGTACTCGTGAAGCTCACAACCAAAGGTGGAAGAACATAACCGGCTACAAGCAGTCTAAAATGGTGCTGACTCAAGTCTCATCACGATTTACTTGCAGATTGATCAGTCTTAGCGGACTAAACATCCGTATAATTGTTGGAACGATAACAGGGCACTTAACCCTGAACCGAAAACTATTTACCATCAATGCGATAGAAAGTACTCTTTGTAGAGGATGTCTCAAAGTAGAAGAAAGGCCCGCCCACAAATTCTGGAGTGCGAGGGAACGGCCTCACAATGGACAAGTATACCTGATACAAAATCGCCTGTGAACGTGCCAGGAGGCTTCTGCGATCCTCGAAGGAGTTGAGTAGGCCCACCTAGCAAACCTTATCACGACGCATACAGGACCTTACTTGAGTCGAAGTGCGGCAACCGTAGCTCACTACCAATATCAATACACATTGTTGAAGAAAGGTGGATAAAAAAGTGTCACCACCACCATAATTGCATACATTTAAAATTTTCCGCATGTTTTTATTTCAGGGGTGCCTAATTAATTTCGAACCAGGTGGATGCTCTCTTTTTAAGACAAGAGTCCACTGTGACAGCCAATGACTAAAATTTGTCGTCAATCTCTAAGATACATGAGTAAATCTGTCATAAATATAAAACCACTCAGAAGTTATTATTATGATTAGGTAATTAATCAACAGAACATACTACTTTACTTTTATGCAGCACCACAGTACACAGTACAGCAGCACAGCACAAGTATGGAAAGTAAATTAATAAGCTTACTCTGTAGTAATCCGAACTGTAGATGTCTCTTGACAGCCCAAAATCTGATATCTTAACAATAAAGTCATCTGAAACCAAACAATTTCTTGCTGCCAAATCTCTGTGCACATAATGATTAGAAGCAAGGTACTGCATACCCGAAGCAATATTCAGAGCAATATTTAGCAATCTCATTGGTGGCAAGCCCTTTCCTGAAGGTGGTGCTCTTCCCATAAGAAACTCATGGAGATCCCCACGGGCCATGAATTCAAACAGCATACACAAAGGTTCTTCTCTCAATGCTACACCTACAATACACACAATGTTCTCGTGTGTTAACTCAGATATAAGATCAATTTCTCTTCTGAAGTCTGCTTGAGTTTTTGCTGAAGCATTCTCTTTCAGAGCTTTAACTGCTACAAATTGTGTTTCACCATTCTTCTTTAAGCCTCCTTTATATACTTTACCAAAAGCACCTTCACCTAATTCTTCTAGGAACTTTATTTGTGACAAGGAATATTGTGGTATGCGAAGCACACCACCACTACGAGTGTTCCTGGTCAAATGTGGTTGATTAGAAACATTATTAGTTAATAATTCATTCATCTCTATAGGAGAATTTAGTCTTGAGTTTCCATAAATATTTTTATCAGCATTTGGTAAGTTTATGTCCCTTATTGTGGCAGCATTATTTTTCTTTTTATGTTTGTAGCACAAGCAAATGATGAAACCCATTATGGTTAATGTTATTATTAGAAAAATCACCACAATGTAAATCCAAATCTTATGGGCACATTTTGGAATATTACAAAGCTGTTTTTCACTTTTGCCATCTTTTTCAATAAAACACCAGGGTTGTTCTCTGACTCCCCCAGGATTTCTGCAATAGCTATGTGTACCTGCCAATTCTGGATAATCAGACAATGTAACATGCAACTGTTTTGACCATACAATGCAAGGCATATCATTATTTGCTACACTTACCCTCCCAAGATAACCACTGCCATTTTCCCAGTAACACTCATCATCAGATACCATCACTGCACCAATGCTGATTCTAAGACAATCAGGGTCATTTTCTGGCAAGTCTTGACATTCCTCAAGTGTCACTTGCTGTCCAATATGAGGATGCCTCTTGGCTATAGCATACTCTTTCTGACACAATTCATTCTCTAATATCTCACAGTCTTGCCGACAGACACGCCTCAAAACAGATGAGTTGTAACGATAATTGAACAATGATGCAATGGAGCTGTTTGGTTTTATGTACATATCTGGAAGTTTTCCATCAGGTAGGTTTTCAAATACAATTTCAGGCAGTTCACCATTGTCTGTTTGACTAGAACCAAAATCTGAAAATAACATCCTAGCATCTCTGAAAAAGTTATTGTTTGTAGCGAAAGGATCTCTGCAAATTGGGAATGATGAGTAGCATAAGCTGGGCACTGCATACCCCTCACAATGAGGGCTGATGTCATTAGAATATTTGGTCACTTGAAAGGCTTTTAGTAATTTGTTTTCAAGATATGCTTGTGTTGTGTTGTAAGGTATATAGACAAACTGACCTTTTAAATGTTCTTCACATACTTTACCTAGATACTCTTGACATACTGGCTGTAATTTCTTAGGAGTGAAATCACTTACATTTGCAGACAATATACTTTCTGATAGTAAACCTGGAGTTGACTGTAAATGTGTGTCCAGTTGACTATAAACTTCACCATTCGGAAACAAAGATGCATATGTAGGGATTTCATAGTTCTCCACAGTTTCTTCAACCCTTAGTTGGGATGTTTGTTTTTTCTCATAATTTTGCTTTATCACACATGAGTAATTGCCTTTATCAGATACAGAAATATCTTTGATTCTCAGGTTTGTGCTTACTGTCCCATTACTCTTATCTATTTTTGTTGTTATCTTTATTTTCTGTGTCGAGGCTTCATCAATAATACGATTGTCTTTCAACCAATATACTTTCACATTTTCTAGCAACTTCTGTTGTATATGGTCTGGAGGAGATTCCTTTAGTAATGTAGCTATCCCTTCTTTGTTTTTAGTATATTGTTCAACCTTGGTGTAGTTCATTACCGCTTCACATTTGAATCGTACATCACTTTTAGGAGGTCTCGTGACTACAGCAGGTAATGTTTTCGAGAAGAAAATGTCAAGTTTGATATATTTTTTCTCAGAAGTTGAATTTAGCTTTACCAACGAACTGGATGCAATTTCACATAAACAGAGGCAGAAAACAATAAACATACTGCAGTGTTTCATGGCTAACACTGCCCATAACACTGTGCCACCGTATTCTTGAATCAGATGTTTACTATTTAAACCACACTACAACTTATTTATATGACATATATCTTAGTTCATTCAATAACGCGAATATACAATGCAATTTACATAATTATTGTGGGTTTTATTCGGTACAAATAAATTTAATAAAACCCTGCATGACAGCGAAACAACACCGACTAATTAGAATGACAACCAGTGTTGCTCTCGTCTAATAGTAACAAATTAATAATAGGATTACAGTGAAATTAGTCTCGAGAAATTTTTGCATATGTAGTGGTGTGTATATTACTCAGATCTTAGAGCGCGTTTCCACTAAATCGTTCTGGCCTATACAAAAATGTTTCGATATCCTAACATTACTATTTAATTTTATACTTATCCCTAGCAACACTCTGATTTTTGTTTTCAATAAAAACAAGTTTTTATTTTAAAGAAAAAGGTTTTGACTTTATAAAAAAAAAAGGTGTGTGTGCGATTCACACACGATAGAAGTGAAACTTCAAAGAGGAGAGACCGATATTTAAATTTTTTTTTTTTTTTTTGTCATCTAGGTTTTTAAAACTCCGGGGGTTTCTACGGGGGGGGGGGGTCAAAATTTTTGTTATTTTTGGCCTAGGACGCACCGTTTCCGAGATATTTCAATCTAAAGCAAAAAATCGTCACTTGATAGTGGAAAGTGGAAACACGCACAAAACCACACTACAACTTATTTATATGACATATATCTTAGTTCATTCAATAACGCGAATATACAATGCAATTTACATAATTATTGTGGGTTTTATTCGGTACAAATAAATTTAATAAAACCCTGCATGACAGCGAAACAACACCGACTAATTAGAATGACAACCAGTGTTGCTCTCGTCTAATAGTAACAAATTAATAATAGGATTACAGTGAAATTAGTCTCGAGAAATTTTTGCATATGTAGTGGTGTGTATATTACTCAGATCTTAGAGCGCGTTTCCACTAAATCGTTCTGGCCTATACAAAAATGTTTCGATATCCTAACATTACTATTTAATTTTATACTTATCCCTAGCAACACTCTGATTTTTGTTTTCAATAAAAACAAGTTTTTATTTTAAAGAAAAAGGTTTTGACTTTATAAAAAAAAAAGGTGTGTGTGCGATTCACACACGATAGAAGTGAAACTTCAAAGAGGAGAGACCGATATTTAAATTTTTTTTTTTTTTGTCATCTAGGTTTTTAAAACTCCGGGGGTTTCTACGGGGGGGGGGGGTCAAAATTTTTGTTATTTTTGGCCTGGGACGCACCGTTTCCGAGATATTTCAATCTAAAGCAAAAAATCGTCACTTGATAGTGGAAAGTGGAAACACGCACAAAACCAGAATAAACCAGTTTACGCTGTCCGCAGGTGCCACTACTACAAACGCAAAAAATTCTCCAAGCTAATTTACCTGTACCTTTACAGTACTCTGTAAAATTGGAACAAAATCACAGTGAACTGTGATTTATCAATCGATTTTTTGGTACGTAGTCTAGGCTGTTTAAAAGTCAAAACAGGGTCTTTCATCGTCTAAAACAGCTTATTGGCTACAACGCATGAACAAGTAGCCACCTTAGGCTAAGGTGGCTACTTGTTCATGCGTTGCGTTCATGTTCGAAAAAATCGAAATATAAATGGTCCTTCACAGTTAACTATGATTTTGTCCCATGTCTACACTAGGCATGGGACAAAATCCTACAAAATCACAGTGAAATGTGAATGTAAGTGTAACTACTTACCTACTCTCGCGTTGATGCCAATTAGCTATTGCCAGACGATGCATAAAGACCCTATTTCGCCTATTTAACAGTAAATCTAGTAATTATTTTATTATAAATAGCTACCATTTAATACATAATAAAAAAACTAATTTTACTGTTCTAACTGAATTGTAGCGTCTAACCTACCTACCTAGCAATCCTAACCTACGTACACAAAAATCAATTGATAAATCACAGTACAGTTTACTGTGATTTTGTCCCATGTCTAACTCTGTGAGTGTTGCACGCACTGTCTATACAGAATACAGATAATATAAGAGAAAGCCATAGTTTATTTTCATACACAATTTATCGCTTGACTTGAATGAACCTTACAAGGGCTACAAGATTTGTACACCAGCCGTAACCAGCCAAAGGTTGACTGGAAGAGAATAAATAAAAAAAATATTTGACGTGGTTTCGTGAAAAAATAATTTGGTCCCAAAGAAGCCTCCATGATTCATACGGCATGAATACTGTTGCAAATTAATTCCCCCCCAATAATTACCCTTTCACGTTGTCAATGAATACCTAGTTACTAGTTACCAATTACTACTCCTTAAAATTATAACAACATGAAGCATTCTCTGATGGAGGCTTTAGGTACACCAATTCTTAAATTTCCGATTTTTCTTTAATAAGTATATAACATACACAAAATAAATTCATTTTCTTTTTATTTAATCACTATATGTATAAAAGTGTAACTTGCAACAGTTTAATTAATAATGGGTAAATTAAAGTGTATTTTGTTCGAGCTCCTCTTCAATTTCTTCTTTCAGAATAAGTCCACCAAGGAGAGATGAATCGGGAGGAAGCCATTCGCAGCTAGTGTCATCAGATGAACATAACTGGAAACGTAAACATTGAGTTTTTTTATCAACTTATACACTTAATTTCCAATTTCAACGTCAATGTTACATAAAAATAAAACCACTTTCTTATTTTTAAAGACATTTCCCCCAATAGGAACATATTCCTGTGTCGCGGGGACTTTACAAACATACATGAAACGGACACAAAGAACACCCATAACACCCATACTCGGGACAAGACTTTGTCGATTACACAAAGTTTTGTCACGTGTGGGGATCAAACCCACAACACTCAGCGCAGTCAAATTGACATGTATGTATACTTACATTGTAACTTATTCGGGATGTAAATTCTCATAATACGTGGACATTAGCACGAAACAAACACCTGTTCTTAAACATCACGAACTCAGTTGAAGTATGACCAAGATGAATCACTCTCTTATAATCAATCTCTTATAGCATTGTAAAAACCAACAGATAGTCTTAGCTCATACCTGAAAAGTCAGTACGCCCCGTAAAAATATGAATTTGTGGACTTAGTACCTGACATTTACAAGAAGTAGCTTCCACGTAGTGATACACATCAGTCCCAGGCTGGGCGCCAGGATCGCAATTACGCAACTTCACTGACGCGTGCTTGCGATCGCCGTGAACGCACACTGGATGATGAGACTGCTTGTACGGGAACTGCCAGTCAGAAATCTTAAACAAGTGAAACATGATAAATGAATATATTTTGTTAATCCTTTCAGATAGTTATGCGACGCTTTTTATTTAATGATATCATATACTCCAGTATTTCTTATGAATATCCTTGAGAATTAAAGCCGAATCAAACTAAAGGATCCAAGTCTACAAAAACTAACTACGAACTACTAACAAACAAATATATAAAAATTCAAAATGCTTTACAAACTATTACACTTATTCCGTTTTATCCATCAAATAGAAAAATGAAAAAAAATAAAAGTTTTTTTTTTTTTGCTTGATGCATAAAATGATGAGGGTAACGTTAGGTTAAACTGTATTAAACTGTATATGAGAAAATTACCTCATAAGACAAGCAGTATCCCCAGCAAGACATAATCTTAATATCATCCCAACAACGTCGTCCATTGAAGTCTGTTTGCATGGCTTTGTGGGGATGACGCTTGAGTTTGCACCGGCCGTTGAGCGAAGCACCTGTGGTCATCAGCACCCAACAACAAAAAACTAAAGCCACTGTTGCCGAATTAAAACTTGTTCTGTTATGGCTCGACATGATGCACACTGAAAGCAATAAAACATGTTTGAGTTGAGGAACTCGAATATTTACTAAGATATAGTATTTCTGATAATTAAAAGATAATAAACGGGTAATTCTTATTCTGTCCGTGTGGTGACGGATTAAGAATACAGAGTGTCACCACCCCATTCCTCCCGTGGGTGTCGTAAGAGCCGACTAAGGGAGTAAACTACGCAGGACAATAGCACTGCAGAGAGAAGGGAAACTTGACACAAACCCTATTCCATCTCGTCCGGCCAGCGTGGTATAGTGGGCCAAAACCTCCTAGTAGGCCAAAGCCTTTCTAAGGAGAGGCTTATGTCCAGCAGTGGACTATTAAAGGCTGTTGATGATGATGATTATGAATTCTTAAATAAACCATCTTTAATTTGAATTACCTCTGTTTAGAACTAAAGCTTTTAATTTGTAACGATTTTTTGTGTTTTAAACTCGTGTTAAACCTTGTCTGAAGCTGAGTACTAAACTGTCTGCAAATCTCCTTTGGAATAAGTTTTTATAAAGGCACGAGGATGACGTCAGAACATTTATTTCAGTTGAGTTCACATCGCAATGGGGTACGAACCATTAGCCTCGCGATTATACCATTAAGTTGAACAATGACGAAAAAAAACTGTATAATTTAATAGATTTGAATATTGAACTTTTATGCGTAAATGCAAAAAAATAATAATAAGATTACGTCACATAAGAATTATTTTTAAGAAAACAGACAGACTGATTCACTAATTGATCGATCAACGCACAGCTGAAACTGCTAGGTCTAGAAGCATGAAATTTTGCAAAAAAAATCTCTATTCCCTTTAAAAAAACACACACCAAAGGGTGCAAAACGGCGATTGGGAATTTATGTGAAACTTCGTTATTTTTGGCTAATTTCAGGACCTTTTATGGAGGAAGGATATAAGTTATATAACATTTTGCTACAACCAAAAGGAGCCGAGTATCAATAAATAATGTTGCGAAGACGGGGAAATTAATTCCTTTTGAGAGAAGCAGACGAAGTTGAGCTGGTCAGTAACTTGCGTATAAAATTCTACCTTTGGGAGAACATCAGGTTTTATTACAATGCTAATTCCAACGACTGAAGTAATACCCATAGAGAAAACATAAGAATAGAGCACGCAAGGGAAGCCTTATCGTGTCTCACGGTGCCAGAGAGATCGTTGCACGCAGAGGCCCTCTCTATCTCTTTCTTGATTCCCTCTATACCGGCAGTGAAAAAGGGATAGAGAGGTCTTTGCGTGTAGCGATCACTCTCGCACCGTGGGACACCTCAAAGCATTGGGTTAGGTGGTATTGGCGTGCTTTATTCTTATATTATCTTTATGGTAATACCACGGTCTCACAGACAACCAGTGAAGCAGACTAAAGCAACTCTTTTGTTTCATTTCACTGAGTAAGTAAGTTTATCGGAGTCCAAACCCTCTCCCCCTGATTCTAGTAGGAGGAACTCAAAGGGCAACGCCACTTGTGACTCTTCAGTTGTCATTTCCCACTACTTGAATAACTGTCGCTCCATTACTGTGCACTTTTTGCCTCACACAACCAATCTGTGGAACAAGTTATCGTCTGCGGTATTTCCGGACCGATACGACCTTCAAACCTTCAAGAAAAGAGCGTATTCGTTCCCCAAAAGCCGGCAACGGGCTTATGACTCCTGAGCTGTAGGCGTTAATGAAAGGCGATAGTTGTTTTCCATCAGGTGACCCGTCTGCTCGTTTGCCGCCTATTCCATAAACTTAAATTGACCATGGACGGCGGTAGTCACTTACCATCAAGAAACCCGTCTGATTGTTTGCCGACCATACAACAAAAAAAAACGCTAGTTGCTTCGCGTTGTTCAGCGAAAAATAAAGGTCTTCAAGCTTAATACTCTGTGTATTCAAAGGTTCTTAAAATGTCTTTTATCAAAAATAACTAATAACTTAGTGGAATGTACTGTATAATAATATGCAGCAATTAGTATGTAGATTTTTAAAATTTTCGGCTGTATACGATTATTTGATCTAAATCATTTTTGTGTGAAGTTATTTAGGCGTTCATCCTAGAATTTTGAATCGGTAGCCCAACATCCACTAGGGCACTAGACCGTACTAAGATAGGAACAACTCACTCTGCCCACTTTATAATATACGCCTATGGCTACAAAGTTAAAGACTTTGTAAAAACGATTCATCATCATCATCAACAGCCTTTAATAGTCCACTCCTGGACATTTGCCTCTCCTGAGAAATAAGGTTTTGGCACTGCCAAACGGGTTGGTATAAGGTTTGTGACAAGTTTTTCTTCTCTTTGCAGTCCTACGTAGACAAAAAAAAACATAAGTGCGATAGGCTAATGATGATGATCGTGTAAAAATCAAGTCAAGCCAATGATATAATAGTTCGACTTAATTAAATAAAACTATACATTCCATACGTTCGAAATCATCAGTCGGTCGCCGACAGTCGAACATTAATTAACGTTATATTAATCGTATCATACATATAAGTACATATTGTAAATAAAACACACCTAGACATAAACCAATTATCATGATCATAACATAATCGACCCCTTGGGGTCGACTAATATTTCTATTTATTTTGTTAAATTTTGATGGGAAAATGATGTCAAGTTTACTCACTTAACCAACGTTTTATAAGTATTTTGTATCAATAGGAAAAAAGCTGGAGATTTCAAAGTAATTTGGCAATGTGGGTCTGTATCACTTCATTTTGGATAACCAAAATACCAAATATATTGGGAATTACCAAAATTGTTTGGGAATCCCTGAAGTAGATCAATATTCTAGTCAAAACTCCTCTTCTAGAACACGGATTAAATATGAAACATTTCCAAGCGATTTATGAGCGAGAATCAAACTCGGCACCTCTGAAGGTACGGTCGAATGCGCCAATAAATATATCGCTAATATTATCTACTTACGCATTCGGCGCTGTAATAAAAGGTAAAACTACGCAGATTTAAATGCTAACAAGATAAAAATAAACTAATAAATAAAGTAGCAGATCTTACTAAATAACGAGATTTCGAGTCAACCCAAAAAAGTCATTAAAAGACGGTTACGCACTGCGCAAAACAAATTGGCTCATTTGTGCGAGGGTCCTTTCTTCGCCCCGCTCGAGTCATCTTGTCCGTTGACGCTGACCAAAATCAAAGCTCAAAGTAATTGCATCGCGTCGCGATTCTCATATTTTATGCCATCATGTGATTGTAATGTAAAACATACCAAAAGTATTCCGCAATGAGGCCACGGCTGTAAAGTTTTCTTTTATATATCTACAGAGCATTGTCAAAAAGGTTTACATATATATAGGCTACTTGGAGAGGTTAACAAGATTACTGGCAATAGGCGACACTTTTTACCATTATAGTAGTCTTTAAAAAATTGGTTGCCTGTAAAGTCGGTATACGGGCGAAAGTTTTACGTGACAACGACTTTGAGTGGTAAAATAATTTTAATGTGAATATTCATTCGTATAGTAGGAAGAAGGATGAAATAATAGTAACAATTTAAAACATTTATTTATACAAAGAATTATTTATGTCTGTCTCTCTCGCTCTTAGGCGGGCTAACCATGCCCGAGTGGAAGGGACGCGTGCCTCTCACTCGCTCTCATTGTGAGCGCATAACGTGAGCGGAGCGTAACGCAGTTTCTTGAAGTGTCACCCGGCAAACCAATTTATAAGACGTTGTCACGTCAAAACAAAAGTTGATCGAACAGTGTGTGTTTAAGCCACCACAGTCGTTTAATAATACAATATTAAAAAAAAACCCACACAGAAACAAAAACAGTATGAAGCTCAAACATGGTATATTGCCTCCGTGGTGCAGTGATAACATATGCGACTGTTGTGCTGAGGTTTCGGGTTCAATTCCCGGGTCCGACCAAATGTTTGTATGATCTGCAATAACTTTTCTTGGAGTTTGGGTGTTGTCTATCACATCACATCAACAGCCTTTAATAGTCCACTGCTAGACATAAGCCTCTCCTTAGAAAGGAGGTTTTGGCCTACTATACCACGCTGGCCAGACTGGTTGGTATAGGGTTTGTGTCAAGTTTACCTTCTCTCTGCAGTGCTGTTGTTCTGCTTATTTTTTACCCTTAGTCGCCTCTTACGACACCCTCGGGATGAATAGAGGTGGTGACACTCTGTATTCTTAATCCGTCACCACATAGACACGTGTTTTTTATAATAAATAATTTATTTGACTAATATACATTATATTACAGTGTAGGACATTTCGGTTTACAATAGGTCTTAGACAATAATTGGATTTTTTCTTATTTATATATTATTATATTTTCTATGTATAATACGTATGTATGTATTTACAAAAAAAAATGAATATAAGTACTATATCAGGCATCTAGCTTTTCTAGTACATCTGCTTAGTTTGAAACTAGATGGCGTTGTGTGTCAGATGTCCGAAAAATATTATAAATATTATGGAGTCTGCAAGATGACAAGTTCCAGGTTACCATGTCGTGGAAATACCATCAAAGTAACAGTATACCAAATTTGAAATCAATCGGACCTAGTTTTACTGAGATCAATTAATCACCTGGGCAATGAGCTGATGATCTTCAAAATTTATAGCTAAGAACTATCTCGATCACATCGGCTTTCAAACAAAAAAATCCGCATCGAAATTGGTATATCTGTTCGGGAATTATGATGCCACAGACAGACAGACAGATACACACATACGCAAATAGGCAGATACGCAGATACACAGGTTAAACTTATAACACCCCTCGTTTTCCATCGGGGGTTAAAAATGACATTGGTGACGGACTTGTAGGTAAAAGATAGCCACCAGGGACTTCCTTTCTAGGGTATACCTGGTTCCCCGGCTATTAGTAACCGAGACGGCGCGCGGTTTTATTAGTCGGTTCGAGTCCGACATGCCACCGACAGGTGGTATCCGAGGGGATTGCCGCACGGAAAAAAAAAAAAGGTAAAAGATAGCATCACTAATTTACAACAACAGCAAATACTTTCGCTTTACGATATTGTTGTGTTAATGTGTCCATTATGGAGAGAAAGTATATAATTTGTTTGCATTTTTTTTTCACGTGGTTCAAAATCGCTTCGGATCTCCTGCTCCTCGGGCCTAGGAGTTAGGAGTATGTGGTGATTCCACTAAAAACCACCCCGACGGCCGGCCTCAGATGCCCTACTCTGGGAGGACCTGGACCATGTTATTTCAGGTCCTCCCCGAATTGACACAATGCCTAGTCAGGCCCTATCCCAGGGGAAAAAAAACCTGTACTGCCTAGTACAGGTTTTACTTTAAGTGAAAACCTTACGTTACCTACGTAAAATCAGTGAAATGGTATGAACCGATCAGAATAAAAAAGTCTTATATCACAATAGGTACTGAATACATAAGACTATTGAGCAGTTAGGACTATCGTAGTGCTTATTAAGTAGGTATATTTTTGGGCTTACTGGGTATGTAAAACACAGTACAGTATTTAATATTAAACTTAGGTGGGTAGATCCCCAAAGACATTAGGCACGTCCCCCGACCTTACGTATTTGGAATCCCGACTTAGGAATGAAGACTTTGAAGTAATTGTGACTTAGGAATTAAGGCTTATCATTTTGCTAACTTGTCTCTGTATGTTTCCAAAATTGCTAATTTCAAAATTGATTTCAAAATCATTTTTTGCTTTCGCTATACTTCTGTATCGCTCTAAATAATTTTATTATGTGTATTCATTGTGCTTTGCTTGTGCTTCAAGTTGGAAGGCTGGAGGCAAACAAACCATTGCGTATTAGTCATTTTGGAGCGATTTACAAGCATAGTATTTCTCCATATTCGAGCGTGCCCTTACAGGTTTGTGTTTATACGAAAGCGAGGACTTATCGCTGACATAAAACTGGTCCACAGACACGAACTCACTCTATAATTACTCCTTTTGAACTTGTTTTTGCATAGTGGATTTTTTTGACTATACTAAACTTACAACGTCGGTCTTTGTGAATGGAACTAAATTAAGTATGAATTACTACACTACTGCCGTTAAACCATATAATATAAAAGTTTATTCTTGATCACCTCAGTATACATATTATTAAGTATCCGTACTTAATCTAAATTAATCAGAATTAAAGGTTTTTTTACCATAAAACCTTTAATTCATCAAACCTTTAATAAATTGAACTTGGAGTTCGAACGAGTTTAATTATTTAGTATTTGATTTGAAAGAAATTTGATCAGGAATCCAATGACCACAAGTTTGTCGTACATGGTACGACAGAACCATAGTTCTCCAAACGCCATTAGGGTTACAAGAAAATAATTTCGTTGTTTGATCTTAAGTCGATTGTTTAAATCCGGTCCAGTAGTCGTGCTCCAGAGTATTGTCCCGGCAAATTTGTAGTGTGAATACTGTTATGGTAATGAATGATTATGGCCATAGTTAAGCTGCCGCCAAGTAGCGCTGCCGTTCCCCTGTCTGCCATGTTTAGTTAACAATCACCAAGCATTTATGGTGATCGAGAACAAGATCTCGCGGACTCGTTGACACTTTGCCTATGATTCATAATAATTATTTTCAAATACAAGATAGTGGCAAATTAGTTTACTATTGATGGTTATCTACTATTGACATCGCATAAATTGCTCCTTTATTAGTAAAGCTTAAAATAGTAGTGCTTGCTGATAATTATGTACCTACTTGTGCATCACGCGTAGAAGTAATCAAATGTGTGATAAGGTTGTAAGGCATATTATGTATATCTAAACCTTTATTCATTCTATTTAGAAGGTAATAATGGCTAAGTATGTTTTGTTAGGAGTAATGACAGGTGTTTAAAAAAGAAAGCTTCTATTGATCTTAAAATATTGACGATTAGTAGGTACAGCTCAAAAAACTTCACTTCAAAAAAAAACTGTTTGGTTTATCAGCGGGATAATTCTGGTAAAAGTATTAGCTTTAAAAAAAAAAATACCTACTTTGTAAAAAATCGTGTGTCAAAAAAGTGGCGAAGTCGAAGGCGATTTGAATCAAGTTATACAAAAAAAAACAAACGGATAGGAAAAATCGGTTAATTGAAAAAAAACAATTTTAATGGAAAAAAAATAGGAGGTATGTGTGTGTGAGAAAAAATTAAGAAAATGAGAGGTGCTGAAGTCAAATTCGTTAGATTCTTCATTTTCTCAGCTTGTATGACTCGTACGAAAGCCGCTCAGTTCTTCAAATATAGCTTTTAATACTGTTTTTTTTTGTACACCCAGCTGTTTGTGAGGTGTGTGAAATAATTATTTATTTATGTAATTTTTATTTTTAGCCTGTGTTGTCCTACTGCATGGCAAAGGCCCCCCTCTCTCTTTAAGTTTAATTCATTACTAAGTATTTAAAAACGCTTTCAGATCTGTCAGTATAATGATGGGAATAAATCAATATATTCTCAGATAAGAAAATAATATTGTAATATAGGTAAATACTCGTACCTATTTATGTATGTATTATTATTATATATGTATTAGACGACGTCAAAAGTTTCCCTTCGTATCGATAGTCTAGTCAAGCTACATTATATTTATATACTTACAATATTTATTGTTATGATTTACTAACACTCCTTAATAATTGGCATGAAATTAAAGAAAACCATTACAACAATTTCGATGAAAGTGCTCGTGAGTTACCGAGTTACTTCAGAGTTATCGCTCGCTAAAGCTACACGTGAGCTTAGTTTTTGTGACATAACATAAGTTTAGTAACTATTCATAAATGTGAAAACACCTGTTGAAGAAATGTGTGTACTAATATAATAAATTCAATAAAGCTGTAAAGTCTCAATACAAGTGGTCAAGGCAGTGAAGATTTGCAGGGTCTAAATGGTACGATTTTCGAAAATTAATTAATTTGAAAATTTTCGTTGGATAGGCATTGCGTTTTTGAATTTCAAATTATTTATTTATTTAAATAGGTTTAAACTACATACTTACTATTTATTTGTTTTTCAAACCAACCAAAAGGATATTAAAATTAAAGGAGTGTAATAAGTTTTTATGTGTAGGTAATAATGTCTGCCAGTCTGTGCATGTTGGCGCATCATAGCCCTTAAACAGATAGACTTTTAAAGTAAAAACTTCTTTGGGCGCGTTGGGCATTTTTGAACAACAAACAAAATAATGTATTTTTTGAGGGCGGAAAAACCATTGAACTCGCGGCACTGTGACCGTTACGGACACCTCTGTGTATAAATATCTAAATATATTGGCTCCGATTAAACGAGAGTTGAGTTTGGGTTGAAATACATTGATAAT